GGAGCTGCTCAGCTCACATGGGAAGCCAAAGGAACAATACCACAGAATTAAAACAGTATTGAAGGGCATGAGCTATGTGTTCGTGGATGAAAACTATTTTTTTTTTTTTAATTCATTCAGGAAGCTTTTAATCTGTAAATTAAGTCTCCCTGGGTGACATTTTCATGTAGACATTGCTTTCTCTCTATTACAAAAACCAAACAGATTTAGCTGGGCTTGGACCCTACACCAAGCCATTCGCACACTTGAAAGAATGTTCACGGAGGAAAAGTAAACAGTCCGCAGACGTTAATCATATGTTTTACGATAACCATTTAAAAGCTATTCCCTGTACTACCATTATTTAAATGAGACGTTGATGCTGCCATTCACTTGTGCAGCCTGGGGCCGGCTGGCAGCCTTCTCCAGCCATCCGAGCGCCAGCCTCGGCTGCCCCCGCCATGAGCACAAAGGGGGCTCAGAGGCTGGTAAAAACTAGCTAATGTGTGGCTTCATTCAGGGGCAGCAAAAGCCTCCTGAACAGGCAGTCTACCTCAGCCCAACACCAAACAATTCCCTCTGACAAAGTGACATGGAATAGCCATTTTAAATCCATCCTTCTCATTAACTAGCTGGGAAGAGAAACTCCAGCCAGTGCACCACCCAGCCTGTAAGATGCCCCGGCCCTAGCTGTTCTCCCAAGACCACTCGACCTTGAACTGCGGCTATCCGCCTGTTTTAAACCTTGTTGTAGGTTCTCTGTCCCCTTTGGGGAAAATGCAGTCAATGAGCACCCAGGATGGAAAGGAGGGGACAAGGCTGAAGGAAAAAACAGCAACTTCTGCTTGAGATCCTATTGGTTGTCGTATGATACCAAAGAAACCCCAGCGGTTTGGCTTTCGCATCTGTATAATGGGCTTGATCATACCCAGGATATTGCAGAGGAGAGAAGAACTCAAATAAATCAGCCCCGAGAATGTGGAACCCAGCGATGTGGTCTCTTGAGGCTGTGCCAATAAGTCATCATCAAGTGACTGGAGTCCGTCAGTCATCAGTGGAACCAACGCTTCAGGGAGCCATGGCGTTAGGGTTCTTGTGCTCCCAAGGAGCTGAGAAGAGCCCAGGAGATGCGTCCAAAATGACTACCACCTCCAAGTCTGCGGCTCTTGAAACCATAAGCTACTCCTGAGAAACACTGAGTGATTCACAGCCAGGTTCCCAAGACAGCCTCCCTCCTAGGGGTACCTGGAGCCCTAGAGAACTGCAGTGCTACAAATGGACTTCTTCAGAGGAAAGAGGAAACCAGCCCCTCGCCAGGCTCCGGCCTCCCCAGAGGGCTTCCTTTTCTACTACAGGGGCCTTTTCACCACTGCCCCCAGCCAAGCCCACACTCCCGCCCCTCCCCTAGCAGGCCCTCCGGTGGCCCCGGGACCAGCGCGTTCTCTTGGCGCCCGGGCACACGGCCTACCTGTTTTGGGGTCTACGTCAGCTGGCAAGTGTGGAGGCGGGTTTCCCGGGGTGAAGTGTTCATTGCTGTACGTGATGAGAGGCGTGAGAGGGTGGACATGGTGAGGGTGCTGCACGACCGGCACTTTGTTCGACTGCGGGAAGGAAAGCAACAGAGAAAGACACCATCGAGCCAGGTCCCCGGCCACAGAGGGCCTGTGGGTCCCCCTGACCACGCCCCCTCCCTCCTGGACTTCGTTAAGATGCACTCAATTCCGCCGGCAGCCCTGGCCCCCATCCATCTATCAAAGGTAACAGAGAGCTGTGAGACAGCATTCTGGGGAGGCACGCTTCAGTTTTGATCTCCCCACCAAGCCTGGCTTTTCAAATACCTTCTCCACCACCACCCCATCACAGAGCCCACAGTTTGCACTTTTCTCATCAGCAGGTAAATCGGAAGTGAGGACTTTAATCTCTCAGGCCTACTGTGCTCCTGCATGTGGAGGTGGATCTCCTACCCCGTTGCTCTACGAGGAGGCGGGGGTGGTGCTAGGAAAACCATCAGTCACAAGAAACCTGGCAGGGCCCAAATCTCACCCACCCAGCCTCCTTAGCCACCACCCCGGGCTCCTGCCCCTTAGAACCAGCAGACATGTCAATCCTTTACAGAGATGTGGATGAAAAGCCCACTCCTGGCCTGGCTGGGAGTGTGAACTTTACCAGAAAAGCTCTCAAAGCAAGCACCTGCATATTTTATGCAGATTACAGCAGCCTGATTCATTAGGAAGTCATCAGGGAACTCTAGCAAATTAACTGGATGATGATGAATTGGGCTAATAAACGTATATATACACGTTTCAGAAATGGGCAGTCCTAGAAAACGAAGTACAGACATTTTTGTGTTTGGGAAGGGTGGATAGGTGAAGAGAAGCAGGAAAAAAGAAAAGCATTTTTATGATTTTTCTAGTTGCCATGACCAGACCCTCCCAAATTATTCTCCTCTGCTTCCCCGACCCTGCTCTCAGCCCACCCCACCCCGCCCCGCTTCGCTACGCTATGCTATAACTTAGCCCAGCAAGATCACAAAGAAAAAATTAAGCTGAAACAAGCGAACTACTGGGCCATTTACTGAGAGTAATCCAATTGCAAAAAACCCTATTCCCAATAGAGGATTTTCACTAAAATCCTACAACAGGGACATTTAACCAGATTAGGTACCAGGGAAGATAAAGAGGCTAGTATTAGATGATGAATGGATTAGAGTCAAGTTTCATTTCAGGACGTGTCTTCATTTCCTTTTATTACTTTTAGGAAGGCACAACTTGCATTAACATCAAGGAGAAGGAACTGCATTAGAAGAAAGGAAGTGAGGTTCTAGTGCTGCCCACTAGCGCCTCTTGAGTTCAGGGACCACCAAGCAGTTGGTTCGTATCTTTTTTTTTTTTTTTTTTTTTAATAGGTGAGAAAGGAGTATAACATGGAAAGAGTATTTCCTACCACAGTTACTCTTTAAAATGTACTTCTAAGTTTTTCATGAGTATGTCTGAAGAGAAAAATATGGCCTTCTTGGATGCTCCAGAAAAAAACTACAGAGAAAGAAGTCAACACTTTTAATAGCCTGGTTTAATGATACCTAAACAACTGGATATTTTTAGAGAAAAAGGACAGCTAGTTGCTCACAGGCTCGTATGGTGAGCTAGCATTTTGCGATCAGAACACTAGGGGTTAAAAGCACCAAAGCAGAGGGAGCTTTGGAACCCAGTAACGCGTCCTTGGCAGGAGCCATGAAGGTCTGGGCAGGCCGAGGCCAGCAGAGTGAAGGGTCACTGCCCAGAGGCTAGCACCAGCGTCTCCTGGACAGGCACGGAGGAGTCTTTTAGGAGAACAATTCTGATTAAGACAACTTGAAAAGTCACCAACAAATAAGCTCCCACTGTGTGCTAGGGTGAAGAGGGAAAAGAGAAAGGGCGAGGGAGGGAGAGAAAGGGACAGAAAGAGTCAGATGGAGTAGAGGAAAGGAAGGTGACTGTTGCTGCCTTCTAGAAGTTTTCTATTTGACTGGAAAGATACATACCCACTAAAATGAAAGCAGACCCGTCACAGACAGTTTAAAGTAAGTGCAGAAAACCGGTGAGATCAGTGGGAAGAAGCATGGATAGCCCAGAGGAGGGAAGACTGTCGCTCAGAGGTTGCAGGATTCCCAGGGAATGGGACTGCCATATGCAATGGAAGGAAGCAAGCGCATCGATCCACAACGAGAACAAAAGGGCTGAGCGGGCAGGAAAATCTGCAGTCCTCAACCCTGGCTGAATCGAGCATCTCTCAGGATGCTTATCACAAATGCAGATCCCTAACCCTAGGAAAGCTCTCAGGAGGGAGCCAGTTCAGCACATGTGGGGGCTCAGGGCCTGGGCTTTAGGGTCTGCCAACTGAGTGCCATAGGTGGCGCTCTTCTGTTCAGCCACAGCCCCTTGACCGGAGAGCCACGCAGGCATGGACAAGCACAAAGGTTACAAGAGACCTGAGTCCTAATCATCAATCAAATCCTAGTCCTTAAAAGACTCTGCAGAAAGGGCTTACCACAAACCCTGGCACAAAGTAAGCACAGGAACGGTGGTTTATTATTATTGTTACTGTTATTGTCAGGGAGGAGCTGCCTGATGGCATGGTTTTGTCTGCAGTACAGAAGCGCAGATCCCACAGCTGCGTTCTAAGCAAGACTAACAGGAAATGAGGGGGGGAACCTTCTTTCTCAACGTGTCTGGCAAAGGTCGAAGACCGCATTTGGGCAACAGTGGAGTTTACTGGGTGTATGTAGAATTTAAAGTAACTCTCCCTTTCTCTTCATTACATGTAAGAAGGTGATTCCAACAAAAGTTGGGCACCTGTCCTGGCTGCCACCATCCTCATATGATTCTGCACACCTGAGCCCAGCCAATTAGTTTTTTCCTGTTTGGTCAACACTCCATAGCATGGGGGTAGAGTGAGGGGGATGTGAAGTTTTAACTGCTGCCTAGCTTTAGAAGGGAAAGTGGACATGGTTCTCTTTTCTAGTCATGCTTTCATACCAGGCAGATCCCCATAGAACAATACAACCACATGTCTCCAAAGCTGACTGACTGGTTTCCAAGCAAAGCAGGAGGAATGCAGCGGTATCTGCAGAAACCAGGGTCCAACTGCTCCTCCGTCTGACCTGCCTGTACCTGCACTGCTTTTACAATGGGAGGGCGTTCTTCTAGAAATGCCCACATCTCTCCAGGCTCAGACCCCCAGTCCTTTCTTCCTGTGTCACAGTATGCCTATTGCTGAGATCATGTATGCACCTTCCTTGGTACTACTGTAGCTAAGTTCCTTAAAGACATAGGCAGTGTCTTCTAGAACTCGTGTCTCTTGTCATGCCCAGCCTGTGGAAGTGGTGAGCACAATCTCATAAACTGCATCAAATCTCAACTGTAAGCATGACAAGGAGAGAAGGCTAGAGTCAATCTCACAGACTCATTTCAGTAAATGGCAGTGCTATTTAAATGGAGTCTACACAGAATCACAGAACAGAGCTGGGTGGGCCTTCAGAAACCATCTTGTCTAACACTCTATTAACACAGTGCCTTAAAGATGGTTTTAGAGTCCGCTGCATGTACACGGTGACCAAGAGTGAATCTGTAATTCAAGAAAGGCCGAATTTTAAATTCTACTTCACGAATCTAACTGTGCAACTTCTCTCAGGCCTCCGTTTCAGTCTCTGTGTCTATCTCTATAGGATCGTTGTGAAAATTAAGAGACCAGGATTACAAAGTGCCTAACACAGTGCCTGATACATAGCTGCACATGCAATGCAAAGGAAGTTTTTGAAAAATATTGTCAGTGAATATTAATGATGAGTGCACAATGAAGATGAGACTCACTTTCCTTCCTGTCTCTTCTCATTAAATTCACAGGGGAGAAAATGCAGCCGCAGACTTCAATCCTCATTGCAAAGCTAAGGATGCTTATCATGGGGCGAGAACGTATGGATGTTTTGTGGGCACTCTTCCTCAGGCATGCCCTTCTTAAACACACGATAGTCAGCTCGTAAATATATTTCATTATCTCCTTGGAAAAAAATCACTTTATTATGCTAATAAACAAAGAGCTGAACATTAAATAAAAATAGTTCAGAATGATCAAGGTCCAGAATCAGGGTGATGGCCCTAAAGGAAGAGCTGATATAAATGAAAGGCAAAACCACGCACACAGGAAATGCCCCTTCAACGTCTCTCCCTTCTCTTCTAAGAGTTCCCACTTCTCTAAACAGATCTTTAAGGATGAGGTTCAACACTGAGTCACCCTAAGAAAATTCAGGTGTGAGAAGCAGCTTTCTTGGGGGAGGGGCACAGACAATCTTCTAGAAATAAACGATCCAGAAAGTCTAAATTAAAGCAAAAGTCTGTACTGGGAGTGCTGGCGTTATCTCCTACCCCGTTATCCTTTTACAAACGGAGTCCAGTGTTCAAGGCAAACAACTGCAACATATAACCAGGTACTTTTAGGGAAGTGCTTTATCTAAATATTAAGTACGGCTTCAAAACTCCCTGGAGTACAAAATCATTACCTCTAGGGACAGCTAAGTAACGTTCACGGTTGTGTTGGTGGCTGTCACGGGTAGCTGTATGGAGAGCCTAATTTACTGATATTTAACCCTTTCAGAATACGATGAACACCAGGAATCTCTGAGCCACAAAAACAGCAAACCTTCATGAAGTATTCCGCACAAACTCAGGGAGTTACGTCACAGTTGCCCAGATACACCCACGTGATCGGCACCTGAAGCTCGCCCATGGAGCCACCTCGAACCCCTGTCTAGATGATCTGAGGGGAGGACAGGGGACAGGAGCAGTGACCAACTGCTATTCCTGAAGCTCCCCAGTCAACACCAGCACCACTGCCACCATTCAGTGGGCTCTGTGCCTGCCTCTGTGTTGGGTGTGACACGCTCTTATCTACTAAGTCTTCTCAACAAACCTATGAAGTAGTCGGCATGTGTTATCAGTTCCACACAGCAGGTGAGGAAATCTGTCCTGAGTCACAGGCCTTGGGAAGGTGGTATTTCCAGGCCTTGCACCCTGACCTGCCAGACTCCGCACCCCTACTGCGACTGCAGAAAGCTCCAGGATGGGGT